ATGCTACACCAACATCTTGACAGCTTATTATACACAGCATTGCTGCAGACAGGGGTCACTATATAACAAGGAAACATTAACTGAGTATTATAACCTTCTAGGAACAAAGTAGGAATAATTGTTTAACAGCTTCAAGAGATGTCTCCTGAGCCTATTCATGTTCACTTACTAAAGGCAGTGAGGGCTTAAATGCTTTCCTTGATCTTTGGGTTTCCTGGAATGAAGAAACATCAAAGGCAAATATAGTTCTGCCTTTGCATATATTCATAATATTTAAGAACTTTGGAAATACAACATTGTAATTGTGATATACTTCATACTCCTCATCCAATCATCAGCTGTATGTTTTTAACCTTCAACTAGTTCTAAATCTGACCTCTTCATCCCTCATCCTCCCCCACTTTGGTCCAGGCCACCCTTTTCTCTATCAAATGGATTCCTTTAATAGCTTCCTACCTGTCCTCCTGGGCACTGCTGTCACTCTTTCCTCCCTACAGTCTAGTCCAGTGATGGCGAACCTATGACATGCGAACTCATTTTTTTGGTTGATTTTTCTTTGTTAAATGGCATTTAAATATATAAAATAAATATCAAAAATATAAATCTTTGTTTTACTATGGTTGCAAATATCAAAAAATTTCTATATGTGACACGGCACCAGAGTTAAGTTAGGGTTTTTCAAAATGCTGACACGCCGAGCTCAAAAGGTTCGCCATCACTGGTTCTAGTCTCTACCCAGAAATCAAATGAGGCATTTAAAGGGTCAGTCAGAGCAAGGCATTTGTCTCCCCATATCACTCAGAATAAAATCCAGCCTTACAAGTCCTATCTGCTTGATGTGTTTGCTGGCTACCTCCCTGACCTCATCTCCTATTACTCTTCCCCTGGCTCACTCTGCTCCATCCACACCAGCCTCCTCTGCTATGCCTCAAACATATCAAATACACGCCATTTTCAGGCCTTTTGCCGTTCCCTATGCCTAGAACACTTTTCCAGATATTTGCACTTATGCGCTCTCTCTTAATTCAATCCAGATTTCTACTTGGCCCTTTTCATTGAGGCTTTCCTTAACTACCCCATATAAAATAGCACCTCCTTCATTGTATCCTCTTACTCATGCTTTATTTTTCTTTACAGCACCTGTTATATTTCTTAAATATACATTTTAAACATATGTATATATTTTATTTTTTGTCTTCCACCATTAAGAGGGAAACTAACCCCAAATAGGATATGGTTCTTTTTACTGCTGATTTGTCAGGGCATAGAACACGGCCTTAACATAGGCATTTAGCAATCAAGTGTGAATGAATCTATCTTCCATTTATACTTCTAAGCACTCTTTGCTTCTACCATCTAGAGGAGTAGGGGAAAAACTATTTTTCCTCCCACCCAGGATTTGAAGCAAAGATGGTTTTTATATATGTATACATTATCTTTACTGCAAAGGCTAAATAAATGTTTAGCATTAGTACAAGTGATTGTTAACTGGGTTACTGTGTTTAAATCACAGGACAAGGTAACACTGAAGCAGATCCCAAAGTGAATCCCACCAGGGGTTCAGATTCCAGAGCCAGCAACGCCTCCCTGGACATCCCCCACACCATTGCTCTGTTGGGAGGACATCAGCACCCTGAAGCCAGAGACTACACCTGGGGAACTTAGCAGCTTTGGCACAGCTGTTTCTGGCTTCATTGGAGTAGTGGCCCTTGTCCAAGGCCCTGAAGAAATGGAGGCACAATTTTTTAAGAAACAACTGAGGCATCAGACCAACTTTCTCCGCAAATCTTTGGAGCTTTCCTGCCATGCATTCCAAGACGATCAACCTGGCCCTCTGGAAAGAGGATGACTTCGCTGTCTATGCCAACAAGTCCCCTTTTTGATCGCCCCAGAAGGACATCGCCAGACCACGTGGAATACACCTCCATTGTATTCCACTCATGGGAAGCCGATCAGATACTCCAGTGTGGAGTCAGGCCTGCATCCCAGCTGAATCTGGATACAGCTTTTGCTTTAGATGTGTGTGTGTGTGTGTGTGTGTGTGTGTGTTTTAAAAAATGCATAGAACATATTCTGATGAAAAAAAAAAACTACACAGAAGAAGCAGTTTGAGGTGATGTGGGAGTAAGGGTAGGGGGTCAGAGGAAGAAAGCAGTTTGAGATTTCACTTGGTAGTCCTGAATTGAAACTGGTGTTGTAAATGTAATTAAACCTGTTCTATAGTCTTATGCACCACCTCACCTTACCCATCTCTCACCCACAGCAGTAAAGTCACATTTTACACTTTCCAGAGCTAGACTTGTTATTTCAAACAAAGACATTTTTTTTTTTTTTGCAAATCAAACTTTAAGGGTGACTTTATTATTCTCCCCTCCCATTTTTATCATTGAGTAAAGAAATGAAAGAGTAAGCTAAATTGTCAGTTTTCCCAACAATATGGAAATCTCCATAATCATGACACTCATACGTTTTGTCCAGGTGATCATTTTCATTCAGTGTGGGAGGGGGGAGGGGAATTCCATGCTGGGATGATGCAAGTGGAAGGGCTTGCTTATTAGAAGAAAATATTTTTTCCTTTTCATCTCACAGGCCAGTCTCATCACACAAATCTAGTTCAGAGGATGTGAATATAAACCTTGCCCACCTCCCGTAGCCCGTCTTTCTTACTCAGACAGCTTCCAAGCAGCTCTCTAACGGAGACACAGTCTTTAGTTTGCAGGACAAATTGTGCCACTGCCTTCCCTCCGGGTAGACGGCCCCTGGCCATCTCCCGTTTGACACTGTCCAGGACAACTCCCCTGATGTCTTTAGGCTTTGCTGGCACACCGAAGATGAGAAACAGGCCCAGACAATCCTCTCCTATCAAGCTACAGAATTCGTCCAGCTTTTCAAATCTACTCTTCCGGGAAGACTCTGCCCTGGATTCTGGCTTGGAGGACTCACAAGGCTTAGACTCTACAGGAGGAAGAGAAGACATCCGCAGGGTCTGTACCGCCAGCTGGAGCCTTATTTGCTTATCAGATCCCCAAAAGGTCCAAATCCAGTCGGCCCCAAACAGGAAGGCTTGGTGCTTGGTCATCTTGGTGGTGGTGAGCCACTCATCAACGCCCTTTTCTTGGCAGAAAGTGACGAAGTGGATTAAGAAGATCTCATTCAGAGTGTCTGGAGCTGGGCTCAGATTGCTCAGAGGGTCTTCAAATCCAAGGTACTCCTCCAATTTCTGAGCGGCATGCACGATAGCTCCACTGAACACCTCACAGACGCTGACAACCTCTTGGCTGTCCTTGGGAGCCGACTGTTGCGAAGGTTTCTGCCCCATTTCCTCTGCACTCAATCAATACCGCTTCCAAATATCAAACATGTGGCCTTCGATCAGAACGACTTCTTTTTCGGAGTGAACGTCTTGCAGTGAAGCCACATCTGTTAATGTGGTCCCAGTTTTCTAACTCCGCAGCTTACTTGGTGTAGCTAAGCATATATGCATACAACTAAACAAATAGCTCTCCCTGTTTGCCAACTGGGTGTGCTTTATTCATGCAGATTCCTGCTGGTTTACTAAAGTGAGAGATACTTTCACAAAAAGCATCTGTTCTTCTCTGGGTATAGTCACCGTACTTTTCCTATTCGGTAATCTTTTCTAAGATATGCTGCATCTTTTCAAATTTCAGTTCAGTTAAAAATAGCATTTAATTCCTTAAAGAACCATATACTTTCTACAACTAACTTCTTTTTAAGTGTTCTTTAAATTTTTTTTTTTTTTTATTGGTTCAGAGAGGAAAGGAGAGGGAGGGATAGAAACATCAATGAGAGAGAATCATTGATTCGCTGCCTCCTGTACGCCCCCCACTGGGGATTAAGCCTGCAACCCCGGCATGTACCCTGACTGGGAATCTAACCATGACCTCTTGGTTCATAGGTTGATGCTCAACCACTGAGCCATGCCGGCTGGGCTCTACAACTAACTTCTTCAGATCTGCAGGCGAGTCATTTCCCTTTGCTTTTCCAGGATCCTCTCTGCCATGACTCCTCATCCCCCAGCTCAGCGGCCCGTGCTTCCTTCCACACACACGTTTCTCAAACAAACGTCTCATATTCCTACCTGTTGGTACATGCTATGAATCCCACGCAAAATATTTTATGGGAGTTTGTGAATTATCAAGAGTTCGTTATTGTTCTCTATATCAGAAATAAAGCCTACTGGTTATACTGAACAAAGGGAAATAAAGTAACAAACAGACAATAAAAATATGAGGCAATTATCAGCTGACTTTATTTCTTTTCATATGGTGATACCAGCAGTGTGTAATATTTTGTAAATAAAATATATCATCAAAAAAAATTTAACCTCATCACATAGCATCAGTTATATTACAATGTCCTGAATAAAGAATATTTGGCCTCTGTAACAGTCTCCTGGTATTTTTAACCAGGTTGAAATATCAAATTTGTTTTTCAAATGGTGACATATATCCACATGAAAATAAAACACAAGTACATTAAGAGTCCAATATAGTTACAAAATAATGAGTAGTCGGGAGCAAAAGATTATTGTTAGCATCAAATCATTTTAGTCATGAATAAATAGTAATGTAGTAGTATAGGTTCTTTGACGAAAAGCTTGGTAAAGTTGCTGATAACTTGAAAGATCGTATCACTGACATTCAAATATAGTTTGTAAGTAAGCCCACCGGTGTATACTGAACTGCCCACCCCTATGCCAATTTGTGAAAAACAGTTTTTACCACAGTTGGCTATCATGGTAATGACGTGGTACTGAATAAAAAAATAGAATATTATTTCTGATACCCCTAAAAAGAATAATAAACACAGTGACAGTTTTTGCTGCAGCTTTGTATTTTCTTTATAAAGAATATTTGGGCCCTGTGCTATGGAAAAACATGAACTACATTTTATTATCACAAGATAGGCATTCTTTTCCAGCCTCAGAGTTATTAAACTCTGATTGAGACAAAATGTTCAGACAGATATTTGGCTTTTTTAAAAGGATTCCTTCCATTCATGGGTAGTCTGAGAAATGTACATTAGTCAGGCTGCTGGTATTTTGAGACAATGGTCTATTTAGCAAAGAGGAAAATAAGAAGCTTAATACTGTAAAGGTTTTTGTTTTGGTTTCTTCAGAAATCATTTCTACAAAATTTGGGGAAGCTTCTGAATGCGTTCAAGTTAATAGAATGCAAATGTCCCTCAAGTTCTTCCTTATGAGTTTAAAAGAATCCAAGATTAAAGGCCGAAATTCTTAAAAAACCAACAATTCTGTCATGTGTCATCGAAGAAGAGTTATTTCACATACACTAATTTAGTCCGAGTGATCAACATCATTAAAATTCAGTTGTGGAGAAAGAAAGATGATCCTGACCCGTCCAAGAACCAGCTGGCACATGAAACATTTGATCACCGTATTTTTTTCAATGTGATCTTTTTTTTTTTTTTTTACCATCTTCCTTAGGTATGTCACAAAATAAAAGTTCTATGTTCTGTGTACTAAATATATACATATATTTAGAAAAATATATAAAAATAGGACACTAGGGTGCAAGTGGAGGTGTGGCTGGCATTTAGTGGGCACGCTGGATCTTAGAGAGATTCCACATCCTGATTTTAAAAGCACGTGTTCTGCTTCAGTGGCTACACCGACCTGACAGAATCAGCCACCTGTGAGCTCCCGCTCTCCCAAGTCCTCCATACCGTGAACATGACCGGAAACACTATGGTAAAGTCCTCTCATGGTAAATGCAACACTTTAAATATAATATATCACAGATTTTTACATTAAATAGAGGAAAAACAATTATACTCTCATTCACCAGTGTCTCACTTTCCGCGGCAGCTTTAAAATAGGCACAGATCCCCGGCTTTCCATTTCCACTTCTAAATGAGCAGAAGTTGATTGATAAACAATATACAACCCGCTACTTGCTGGATATACTGGGAGTGTAGAAATAACGTGGAAAGGGACCAAGGGCTCCTCATGCTCGTCCAGGCGCTACGATCAAACGTTTGAGTCTTCGTCAGTAATGCTGGCGCTGGGGGACCGGGCAGCGAAATCTTTAAACATGTCATCTTCCTTTAACATGTGCTGGGAAACAAGGAGACGGGAGTCACACACACTGCGCTCTACGTGCAGACCCTTGGGGTGATTTTCAAACATATTCTTAGAATAAGATTTTAAGCTCATTTCACAAACCTACCGTGAGGTTGTTGATGCCTTCAGAGAACACACCTATCTGCCTCACTGTCCCTTCGGAATCCTCCATCTGCAAAGAGCACACCATAACGTGACAAACTCATCTGCACAATTGCAAGGAAAGTGCGGCAAAATGAACAAACATCTGAGAAGAAATAACGCAAGTTGTGTTGAATGGGAGAGGAGCAACGGAATACTTCTGATGATAATCACCTTGCACTGCTGTGATTAGATGTGGAAATTCAGAAGAAACACTTCGTTGGCACTTCTAGACTAAATGCTTTGATGCTGACAATGGCACCAAAGGATTACTGATTAAAGGGCAATTTTCAGCCCCAATTTTCAGTCCTTCATACTGAAAAGGCTAAGTAGTACGAGCTGTCCATTCCTGACTTGTTTTCATACTCAGATTTCCTTAATACAGAGCTAGGGTAACGTAGGTAAGGCACAGGGTTGGGAGCCAGCCTGGCAAGTTGGAATCCCAGCTCTTCTATCTTAGGTAAGTTACTTAATCTCTCTGTGCCCCAGTGTCCTGATCTCTAAAATTAAGATGAGAATACTCCCTATGCTTTAGGATTACTGTGAACATTAATATATGTTAAGTGCTTAGGAAAGTGCCTGGGATATAGTAAGCAGTCTGCAAGTGTTCACCATCATTTTATTATTACCTTTATTTTTAAGCATTGGAAGAAAACTTCTTTGCTTAGTGGACACAATACAAAAAGTTTCCATTGAGTGTTTCAATGCTGGGAGAACTTGAAAATAGTTAGGTAACTTTGCACTTACCTGCTCTAACCGGTCCAAATCATCCTCGTCATACAGGCGCATCTCCAGGCCAGCTTTAGGTCCTTTCTTAGACACACTTCCTGAGACCTGTCCCAATTCCATTGGACAAACATATTCTTCCCCATCTTCCTGTTTCTTCTTTCTCAGATTCCCAAAATTGCTGAAGGTGAGCTTCCTTGGCTTTAAAACAAAGAAAACAATAACCTCCAGGGATTTGATAAAATTCATATAAAAAAGGACTAATAACATGTATAATTTCATTTCATCATACAGAGAAAAGCAACTGAATGATTAAATTTGTATAACAAAAACTAAGGCATCCTAGGCCTATGACTGATGCATCCAAATATGATCAATGATCCCTTAAAAATCTCAGAAGATTACATTTGTTCTCCTTATTCACTCCAACTAGCTAGGTAGTCACAGTTATAAAAGCAAAATATGTAAAGAGCCTTAGTTTTGCTTCAACAGGACTTAATGCAAATGAGATTCCTCGGGGCTAAATACAATTTTACAAGGTTTTCCAGTCTAAGATCAGCAAAAGAAAATGGCCCTTACTGTATTTTCTTTTTGGGTGAGGCTGTGATTATCTTATATGCCTGTTATGCTTCTATAACAGGGTGGTGACTGCTAAAAGAATCCTTGCTCCTTGGGAGAAAAAACTTCCAGTGAGACTTAGAAGAGAAACTACATCTTAGTCACTGGGTAGTCACGGAAACTGTTAAGTAGATGGTAATTGGCTGATGCAGAGAATTTGTATAGAACAGAATCTCTCAGAGTTTCGAATCTGGCACATCTTATAAAGGAGAAAGGGAGGTGAAGAGAAAGTGTCAAGCAGGTAGAGGGGGTTAAAAAAAAAAAGAACTTGAGCTCTAGCTGGTTTGGCTCAGTGGATAAAATGTTGGCCTGCGGACTGAAGGGTTCCTAGCTCGATTCCTGTCAAGGGCACATGTCGGGGTTGCTGCTCGATCCGCAGTAGGGGGCGTGCAGGAGGCAGCCAATCAATGATTCTCTCTTATCATTGATGTTTCTCTTTCTCCCTCTTCCTTCCTCTCTGAAATCAATAAAAACATATTTAAAAAAAAAGAACTTGATACGTATTTGTGAAGGAGTCAATAAACCCTACATCCACATTAAGCTGGTTAAGATAACATGCAGAAGAGTTAGCTCAGGAATCATTTAAAAGAAGAAAAAGGAGTCTGAAATTCGTATTCTCTATGAATCCAGGCAAACTAGGAACATCCATTCTCTGCTGGCGTGCCTTTGTCTAACTTGCAAGGTTGGTCAATTATAGGCCAGACAAGCAGAATCTGTATGAGGAGAAAGGCAACTCGTACATTTGATTTATCCACAGCAAAAATAGGACAACTGCAATCAATATTTGGGTCCAAGTCATGGGCTCTCTGCCTTGGCAATGTATCCATTATAGAAACCAACATCATGTTCTTTATTATTGTTAACCCTAATAAAATAAATGATTTTAACAAAAATTCCCCCAGAAGAAAACCTTTAAAATTGTATTTTATTGATTATTGTTAAAGATGCACATACCTTCAACCCATCCACAGAACTTAGTAAATCCCAGAAAATGGGATAGCCGGGTAACAGAAATGAGCCTTTGTTCTCGTTTTTGGTATAACCAATTATCAAATAATGCGAGCTTGAACTAACCTTCACTTTGGCAGTGGCTGTTAAAAGTACATAATCTGGTAACTCCATGGCATCACGCTTCTGGTGTTGGGCTTCAACACCAATCAGAAGGTTGAAGTGAGTGGCCAAATGTCTTCTCAACAGGGTCTTACTTGGCGGGATGTTCAGCAGCTGAGCCATTGTTTCTACATTAAAACGGGGTTCTAGAACCTATAAGAAAAATAAAGATGTGTAAGGTACGGTATATCACACATGTCTGCACTGTGCTTTATAATTTGCAAAGCTCTTTCATTTAGTTTTCTCCAATGACCTACTCAGTGAGATACACTGCGTATAAACTTTAATCTTTAATTTCTTTTCTTTTCTTTATTCTGCCCAAGCTAGTGAGAAGAGAGCTGGTCCTGACATCCAGGCTTCTACCTCTCTGAGGTATAGCATTTGGGATGTCTTTGAATACAGGCGTTTTGTTTTTATTTTTTAAAAAACTGATTTGAGAGAGAGATGGAGAGAGAGAAATATTGACTTGTTGTTCCACTTATTTATGCATTCATTGGTTGATTCCTGTATGTGCCCTGGCCAGGAATCGAACCCGCAACCTTGGCGTATTGGGACGATGCTCTAACCAACTGAGCCTTCCAGTCAGAGCAACATTTGGGATGCTTTTGGCAGCCAACTTCTTTGCAACATCTGTGTGCAGAAATACAATCTGTATCTTTGCAGAGGTTTTAAAACATAATCATATGAGAGCCAGCAGCCAGATGTTATCCAACAGAAAAGAGGACAATGGAAGAGAGGGGTTTAAATCTGATCTAGAGTAAAAAATAAGGAGAAAAAACACGCTGAAAGTAAAAATCCACTAGAAATAGTGCAGTAGGGTTGGGTTAGCCATCTTTAGGGTTATAATAAGTAAACTGATATGCTCCCACTCATTAGATTAAAGGAGACAAAATGATAAGAAGTCAATTTCAAGTTAAAACAGTTTTTTACCATGAGCCCACCATGGACACCACTGCCCCTGAGATTGGGGGCATATTCTGCCAAGTCCACGGAACGCAGCCACTCCATCACCCGGTGGTTGGTCCACTGCTGCACCTCTGACGGGGTGATGCTATTCTATGGGAACAGAGGACACCAAGAGCTTCAGTCACTGACGATGGGATTCCTAATATCCCACCTGCACAATCCATCCAAAAGTCTGCCCCACAGAACCTCCCACTAAATGTTCACAGAAAGGGTAAAAAAGTGGTTGCTAATTTGAATTCTCTTTGAAAGAAAATTGGCACAAAGTTTCAAGCTTTTTTTTTACACACCATTAGAGCAGGGCTTTAGGAAAGGAAGTCTTTATAGTGATATTTAAGCCTCTGGTTTAAGGAGGGAGGAAAATAAAATACACTCAAGAAAAGGAGGAAGGGAAACTAAATCACAACCCTTGGCTTCCATGACACAGGTAGGACCGTCATGGGAGGGAGGGAAGGAATACAGGAAAACAAAGCCAAAAACGTAAACGAGGCTGGATGTGAGGCTCTGAGGGAACCAGCAGCCCTCCCCGCAGTTTCCAAGAAGAAATGGGTTTCACAGTTTTGCACAGGCGGACAGTCGTATGCATGGAAGGCATGTGCTGAGTAACCCTCAACTCAGATGCTACCTCATCAGATGGCCGCCTCCGTAGACAGTTGGGTTCAAAGTTGTTGATCCTCAGGACCTGGATGGCCCTTTTGATGCTGAGATGGTGCAGCACACTCACGACCTTCAAAGACAGCAAGTCATCCTGCCAAAAAGAACAAAACCGGGGCTCCTTGAGCAGGATGACCTCCTCAAGGAAGTCTCAGAAAACACACATAAAAGTGGAAGAGCCCCTCTCCTAATCGACCCCGAGGGCTTGTCATTGTGTTCAAAGCCTTTATTTAATAGCAAGACCCTTTTCCTTGTTCCAATCAAAATCTTCTCCAGGACCCGATATATCAGAAAACCAAAATTAATGTTGTTCTGACTGACACTGACTTCCATCTATTTCTCTCCCAAACATTCTGGGATAGGTTTGTGGGACCCCTTCGCTCTGAAACACACAGTTTGGAAAGCACTCGCTGGGTCATGACCAACAGGGACCTGCTTTGATCAAGCAGATAGCTAAGAGCAAGTGATGTTCATTGACTATCGAGGTTTGCTTTTCTGAGCTAAAACACACATCAGTTTTGGGAAAAACCAGAAGAGTGGGCACACACTATCCTCCCAACCTCAAGAAATCCCTAGCTCTAGATCTGTATGTGTTATCCAGCAGACATTATGGAAATTTTTAGAAAATCTATGTCAGCCAAAGCAAAGGTCTTGTTCAGAGTTGAGTGTAAAGAAATTAAGAAGCTATATGTAAGTATCTACACATATCACCAATCATTTCCTTCAAGGAATAACTTTGGCCAGTCTGTGGTTACTGGGCACATTTCAAACATACCAAACACACCAAAACAAATTATTTTAGAAGAAGGTGATTTGGGTGGCAGTGTCAACATAAGCACAGGTCTACATTCAAAAACACCCAGAAAATAAACAAAGAAAACATCCATGTTAGACACATCTTACTGATAACATTCTTTATGAGGGAAAAAAATTAATCTATTATAAAAATATTTTCTAAATATTAGGCAATCAGTCTAAATCCTTAAAGGCTACTCACTGAGCAAAAATTCTTTCCTAAATTTTTCTGGATTAACTTCTTAAAGGTAGTGCCTTGTAAATTAGAAAGGACATTTGACAATCTAAGATTGAAACACCCATTTAAAACATTTGCATGTGGGCTATTTTCAACTTAAAATCTATCAGATTTAAAAAAAATGCATAATGTTCATAACATAAATAAAATTTTACTAGCTTAAGGGATTTTAAAAATAGGGACCATTTCCTTTTTTAATCAAAACACTTTTTTGGATTTTTAAAAAATCTTTTATTTTTATGTATTATTAGATTTACAGAAGAGTTGCCAATAATAGTACAGAGAGTTCCATATACCCTTCACCCAGCTCCCTTAGTGTTAACATATAACTATAACATATTCACTAAAACTAAGAAATTAACATAGACAATAATAAAATTAAACAAACTACAGACTTCATTCAGATTTCAACAGTTTTTTCATGAAGGTCCTTTTTCTGTCCTAGGATCCAACCCAGGATACCACATTAAAAACAGATTTTTTATGACTTAGAACTTCCAGGATCAAATTTTCTAAGGTCATTTATTCATTTACTAGAGGCCTGATGCACGAAATTCATGCAGGAGTAGGCTTTCCTTCCCCGGCCGAGGGCACCCGGGCTTCCCTTCAGCTGCCAGCTCCTGGGACCTGGGCATCCCTCGCAGAGGGAGGTCCTGCCCACCTGCCACAGCCCGCTGGTCGGTGGCCTGGGCCTCCCTCTTTGGGGGGATCGTGGAGCCCCCTGACTGATCGCCCTGCTGGCTGGTGGCCTGGGCCTCCCTCTGTGGGGAGATCATGGGGCGATGGTCGGGTCCCCGACCAATCGCATCGCACCCGCCTTGGCTGGCCTGGCGCCAGCGGGTGTCATAGTATGGTCATGGATGGTCCTCCGGATGGTCGTTCTGCTGTTCGACTGTTCGGTCGATTTGCACATTACACTTTTATTATACAGGGTAACTATGAGAGTTATAGATATACTTTTTATAAAGATTTTAAGCCCGAATTTGCTCACATTCCTAGGGGAGCGTACTTAGACCTAGCTCGGCAGGCCAATATTTACTGAATTTGCTCCAGGTGGATCTGTGAACTATCAAGAGCAGGGGTCCGGAAACTGTGTAGGTTCAAATGCCATATGATGTTTCTCCTACTCTGTAACTGTGGAAGCTCGGTCAAGTTACCTGATTTCTGGGTTCTTTCGCTTCCTCATCTAAAAACTGAGGATAATAAGAATGCTAGCTCAAGGACTGCCAAGACTTCAGTATTGATCCCAGTACAGTGCCTGGCACACAGCAGATGTGCAACATACCACCTGTTAGTGTAGCAAGATGTGCCCACCAAGATACAGACTTGGTTCAATGATAGAGAAGAAAGCAAATCCCATGAGCTGATCTCCAAGTTTCTTAATATTGGATAATTCTCATTTAAGTTAGCTGTTTGAAACTTTCAACTTATTTAAAGGAGATACTTATGGTAGCTGAATCCATAGCCCAGCTCACAAAAAAATAAAATAAAATAAATTTTGTTTCAGTAAAAGTATGTCAGGTAGGACCCAGGTAGTACTGTGGCAGCTAGAACACGTTCTCCTGGAATCCATCTCTCCCCACTGTTGTAAAGCAGGGGAAAGTCCTTCTACCCTTGGGGCAAAAGGCTAGACATATGAAACCATAATGAAGGAATCAGAGTGAAAGTCAACCTTTCCCCTACTTCTTTACCCCAGGGTGACTCCCGCCCTAGCAGAACTGGGCAGAAGTGAGAAGGTTCCAGGTAACAGTTCTCAAATGTGAGAGGGAAGGGAGAAGACAAGTCCCTCTGGATTTCAGGCCAGAAGGGTAGCCTTTCCTGAGTGGTCACTGCATATAGGAATATAAAATTTAGAAACTGCCAGGGATTAAAAATTCCACACTCTATTTTTAAAAAAAACATAAGATATAATTCACTCACCATACAATTCACCCATTCAAAGTGTGCACTCCAATGTCTACAATATTGATTATACATGAAATCAATTTTCTGGATAGTTTGACTTAAATTAGGTTTTAAATCCTCCAGCGCTGTTGCAACCACCAAATCCTACAATTTAAACCTAATGGGAAATATTCCTGCCCCTATCTTCAAGTTAAAGCAACGTATTCAAACTTGGTGAATCCTTGTGAAAACCCCCACACCTCAGGAGGGAATCACTTACGATAGTCATGTAATGGAGCATTCGACCATCTACCCGGCCTTCATCAAACTGGGTCTTGTACTGGGGGAGGCCAATGTCATCCAACCATCCTAAAGGAGAGAAATCTGCGTTGTTAACGTGCCACAGAATACCTGTCCTTGTGGTTAAAAAGGAAGAGTGGCATTATTTATTTATTTGCTTGCTTCCTGATTTAGGAGTTCAAGAATTTAAAACCTCTTACTAGTGACCCAGTTGAAATCCAGCTTTCCGTGATTGGTTTCCTCTTCAGATCCCAGAGCTTGCAATGCCAGCTGGAGTTTCTTTCGATGAAGTGAATGCTTGATTCCAAGTTCCTGAAATAATAAACAGAAACACTGGCTTTACAATCCTGTCAATACGGGCTGGGTGCCACTGGCAATGGATGCAAATTCCTCCAAAATGAAGCGAACATCCAAGAGCCAACAATGACATTAAGTCAGAATGCTAACTCTGGCTAGTAAAGAGTTGCTGAACAAAAGGCCCCTAGAAGGCCAAGACCACTGGAGTTAGTTCAGTGGGGAGTGTGAGACATTCACTAGCAGGCTCCTTCCTGGGCAAGACTGGAACTGTAGGATGCAGAACAGGAATTCTACTCTTATTAAATAATTGGGAAATGTTAAATAATGGAACATAAAATGTAGAGCTCTTTTTTTGTTGTTGTTGCCTTTTGCAAAGTGAAGTTGAATTGCATATATTACATTGGGGAGACGGGTTAATAACGATAAAGCCACAGAATGATTTTGAGAAATATGAGCTTAAGGCTTATTATTATGGCCATACAATTATTTTTCATTAAAATGCCCAGTGGCTTAAGTGTTCCATAAGGAATCATTACAACCAGATCCTTTGTTTTTAGTCCATGAAATAAAATAAGCACGAAGCAGGAAAGCCAGACTTTTCCAAGAGCACTTACTGGCTCCCCCATTCCCATTTAAGGCATAGAAAACAATCCTACATTCACATTCTCTATCTCTCTCTCAGAATTCATTATGTAAACAAAAACAAAGAAGCAGTCACCTTCTCTAGATCTTGTTGAGAAGCCTGCAAAAGTGTTTGGCCAGATGCAATCCAGTGCTTGCCAGAATTCAGGTAGGACCCCAAGCCCTGTTCCACAAGCCAATTGCAAACCTGCTCCTTGGTCCATTTGGCAAATGGCATATCCAAGTCACTACAGGAAAATGAACAATTGTATGAAAAACAATTCAAAGCCAATCCTATGGCTTATCATCAAGGTTGAACAACTGTATGTTCAACAGATATGGGTATTTCCTGGTGATACACATTGGACTGTGCAAAGCTTAATATCAGTACATATTTGGAATAGGAAGTGGCACTGGAGTTGAAAGTGACCTTGTGAGACCAATCTTCATTTCAAATGAAACCACAAAAGATGCAATGTGGTTTAGCAAAAGCATGTTCTGTAGAAGACCGTGTTGAACCAACAAGTCAAGTCATTGTACTAGTTTCAACCAATGTTGTTTGAAGACTGAATTCACAAACAGAAAACACTAGGTCAGATGAAAAGAAACTCAAGTAAAACTTGAATTAATTTTAGCAGAATAATGGTTTCTTTCCAGGTGGTAATCAATGAGAAGGGGGCAATATGTCATCACTGATTATAAGAAAGTATAATCAAAGCAAATTTCTGTTTTCTTTTACTTTGACACACAAATAGTATTCCTGTTTGAAAAAAAAAAAAAGTGGTGATAAGACCTTTTTTTTTGTTTTATCAGCACAAGGAGGTCCTCTACTGTGTACAAAGAGAACATATGGCAAATGAGACTGCTCAGTATTTGGAGAAGGCTAAACAGAGTTAAAAGACTTAGTATCAATGATTGGTGCCATATGTTTGCCAACCCCACCCTTTTTATGCTCGGTAGGTCAGTATAGTACAGGTAGTTCCAAACCAGCCCTGAACTGTGGGAAAGGTGTAGGAAAAGTTCTTAGACTCATAATAACTAAAACATTACATAGCCCTAGTAAGTTTAAGATTTCTGATAGAATCTATATCTTTAGGTGCTTTCACAGGTTCCATTGTTTATTAAACAGTGATTTGTCAGATACTTAGCACATATAAACTAATTTAATCTTCAAAACTATTTTCCGGGAAAGATACTAACACATACCACAAGAAACAGAGACACAAAGCATGAAAGTAGCTGTTCAACGTTATCCAGCTTATAGGAAGTGGTAAGACCAGAAATCAGACCCAAGCAATCTGCCTCTAGAACAGTGGTTCTCAACCTTCTGGCCCTTTAAATACAGTTCCTCATGTTGTGACCCAACCATAAAATTATTTTCGTTGCTACTTCATAACTGTAATGTTGCTACTGTTATGAATCATAATGTAAATATCTGATATGCAGGATGGTCTTAGGCGACCCCTGTGAAAGGGTCGTTCGACCGCCAAAGGGGTCGCGACCCACAGGTTGAGAACCTCTGCTCTAGAACCTACTCATAAACACTATACTGTCCTATCTTTGCAAGGCTATGCTTTAAAATACTTATAATTATTTTCTTTGAAAACTAAGTCTGATATTCATTCTAATACAGATGTTGCGGGCACTTCAGCTGTGGCTCCTCACCTAGCTCAGATAGCTCACATTTGCTGCACAGTTGTTCACCAACCATTGCCAAACTACACTGCTCTAAAGATGGCGGACCCTTCCACTAGGCATGGCAGTAAGCAATGGATCTGACTGTGCAACCCAGGGACAATACTAGCATTACTGGTGCTCATGAGACCCCCCTGATGCTTGGGTAGAGATGCGGAAGTCCATTAGTTTGGATGTTCTTACCTATTAGATTGTCCCAAATCTCGAGACCAACCCAATCGGGGCCCAGCAGTTGCCCTCGTCCCTCCTCGTTTGAATTCAGTTTCAGACATGTCATCTGGGTTGAATGTAGTTGACTGACTTCTCCTAAGTCTGAAGAAAAGATACAACACATATTGCCTTGTATTCGACCTGAGGAGGCCTTAGACTAAGCAGAACATTTGTAATTGGTGTATACATTTGAGCTACTCCTCTTTGTCTGTCATTAGAGTACACATTTGGATTTAAAGTTTGAGACTCAATGAGTTAATGAATCCCAAATCACAATCTTCCTTCCAGAAGAGGAACACGGAAGCTTTACAATTTCATATCCATTTTCAGCCAATTTTCCATTTCTTCCTACGTTTGAACAACATATAAGACAAAGTCCATTCCACTTGTTCACTCTGTTACTTACTTTCCGAAGAGTTTCATGATGCCTCGGGATTTCTTTTTGGAATCTGGAGATGATGGGGACATCTGGAAGGGGCTGCTCCCCTGTGAACCTTTTGGCCGAGGAGATACACCAGCCAGGTCTAGGTGCTCGGCTGTCTCCTTTTCTGTTTCAGCTATTCCAAGAAGAGAAAACAAACTCAATGAATTTTAATATAGAAAATGGGCATGATTGGAGGTTAGGTTCTTGGCTTTAACAACTGGTAAGAATTCTTCTGTTGGCCTATAAACCAAAAAGCACCCTGTTCTACTCTACATCAGTTGTGTGTAAAGTCAATTAACTTAAGAAATACAACACCTTTGAGATTCAAAGGTGTGATAGGATTGCCATATTCTTTCCTTAAGTAATTTAATTCATAATGGAATTATTCTCAATACTGCTATACCATTTGGTACTGCTGACTATCTCCTACATCCTTCAGCGTCATCATCTCCCTTAGCTTCTTGGCATGACTCTCTCCTAGATCTGCTATCTGATAGTTCCTTCTTTGCTATAGCACCCTGTTTTCCCTTCCTCCTCCACTCCACTCCAAGATTCTTTTCTAAGTTCCCTCTGCAGGATCTCTTGACAAGCCCACCCACTCTATGCTCAGCACTAAATGATGGCTTCACTCATTGATAAGCAGTTGGCATCAAAATCTATGGGCCTCATCTTTCTCTCCAGCCTTAGTATCTGCTGTGTATATTCCCAGTTCAGTGTGCCAGGGGTATCTTGGACTCAGCAAAATTCCCATACAATTTTTTTCTGAGTCTTCTCTTGATGTCCTTATTTAATATTTCATTAATATTAATTAATATGTTCCTTGCACTCCAGTTCAAACTCTGTCATTTTCTTTTCCTTCCTTCCTTACCTTTGGCATTTATTTCAAATCGGTTACCAAGTTCTGGCAATTCTTTATTCAAGAAATGTATTTTTGTTCATAACCTATTACATCCTAGGCACTGAGAGAAGAATGAACTGAATATGAATAGTTTTTTGTTTGATATAAAATTAGTGTCTGTTGATTCTGCCTTACAAAAATAACATCCAAATTTGCTACTCTTGGATCTCCAAGCATTAACTATTTCAGTTCTTTTAGCTGTTCCTTAACGGGTGATCCCACACTAGCAAACACAGGGGCTACTGTTTCTTCAATGTGAGATTTTACACTTTTATGGAGGAAAGTAAAAGTTGTACAAAAATCACAGGAGCAGTGTCTTAGAGAGTGGTAAAGGTTACAGAGGTTGACTTTTCTATGAAGCAGAGCTGTGGTTATAGGTTATAGTAAGCAGCATTTGCCTCTTAGCATTGACAATACCTTTCTAAGAAAGGTAACAAAACATTTGAAAATAGTTATCTGGATGAATCAGTTTATTTTATTCATCCAGTGTTCATTTTAGACATTTAAGGCTACAAAGAGAGAGGAGCCACCTTTGATGACCCATGTGAATAGATATGTGGATATCTATACAAGGTAACAGAGCCTGTTGGGAAAACCCAAAGGAACTTTCCATCCAAATCCTTACAGCCATGATGGGTATTGATGTTCCTGAGAAGTTGCCTACCCCACCCTCATTTCAAAAGCATCTCATTTTTATGTTTAGACTCTTTTTTTTTCCCCCTCCGGGAAGCCTGCCCTTTGAAGAGGAAAACTGAACTTCCTCCTCAGAAAATCACTTTGGGGGCAACTCCTCAAAGAACACATTGAGTTACCTGTGTCATCAGGAAATGTTCCCTCTATCTTCAAAGCAATAACATGTCAGGAGAACGTTCCCCTAAGAGAATTAAGTCTAAAAAACCATTTTCAAACTCTTCCACAGATCTCTCTATTTGGCTAAAAATGTTTCTTTTTGGAGGCTGGGGAAGATGGAAACATGGGACAGGAACAGCAAGGACCTGGGCGTTAGCGTGAGAGGAACTGTGCTTCAAGGGTGAAAGCTGTTTAAATGCCAGGACACGCCTGCCCTGCACTCAGAGGGATGCTGTGCGCGCTGGATCCCCCCAGTGCTGCTCGCAAGGTGTCATTAGCATTGCTTACAACAGCATTTCCGCTTGAAAGCAAAGGTTCTACAGAGAGTCCTGTTTAGCAGAAGGTGGAAAGAACCCTCTGGAGTAGAGAACTACATCTTTTGGTTGCTGCCAGCGCGCTTTCTAGAGATCACAGATGCCAAGAGCAGGGATTAGCCCGGTTTGGAGCGCAGCGCTAGCCGAGGCTGGCATGCAGGGGTACGATACCTAAGGTGGGTGCACTGGCACTTCGTTTACGATCTTCAGATATCCCAACAACGCACACAATCACACGCAGCCCAATGGAGAGAACACAGGGGAATGACAAAATGAAACACAGATCAGACTCCTACTCCCAAAGTACACACGGTGGAGGGAAGGCGAGTTCCACGCGACTCCACGAGCAGTGTCAACATGGGGTTAATGTATCCACGTGAAAAACAGATGGGAAGCTGGTTACAATGAAGTCAGAGGGAATCATGGTTTTAGGTCTTCCTTCTGTGTACACCCCAGAAGAGAGAGCAAGGTGAGTCTACACAGAGCTACCTTCAGCAGACCACTGAATTAAATCCACGGAAGCATTTTTTTTTTTTTTTGCTAATTTCCTCCCTAAGTCATTCACCTTCATTTCTGAGAAAGAGAAATGCATAAAAGATGAGTCGGGGAAGGGAAGAGACTGTTCTCTTCCTTGTTCTGATGGAATTCGGGCAAAGGCGTTTTGGCCAGACCTACCCAAGTTCGGCGCACTTGCTGTCCTCTTATTACTTTTTATTTTAAAGAAGCCACGACCAAAGGAAGATCTGCCTTTTCGGGTGCCAAAGGGGTTGTCATCCAAGCAGGCATCGTGCCCTGGGGCTTTGGGTGGGAGGGTCCCAAACGGGCTGCTTTCTACCGGAGCTTTATCCTGAGAGAGAAGTAAAAATAAATGAAGCAACACCAATGCACATAATTATGAGCACCTGCCAGGCACAATACTGAATATGTTACATATGTGACTGCACTTAAAGGAATAACTAAACTAGTAAGTTGGTTATGAATACCAAGTGCCACATGAGAAGTTTAAAAAGTCAATTCTGAAAGCTACTTAAGAAACAACAACAAAAAACATGCTTGTCACTAACTTATAACCCATATATTTAAATATTAGGGACTTTAAATATTAGGATAGATACAGAAATTCTCAAGTGTTCTTTGCCTCATCCCCCCCAAAAAACAGAGAGATAAAAAAACCAGAATAGCAATAGACTTCTTTTCCAACAATTATGACACAGATCTGGCTATGAGACAGTTCACAGTCTTTATAATATAACTGAATCTATAGAAGCCCAATACAGCATAATATAATTACTCCAGAAAGTAGGCATTATTCTCAAGCTTCTACACAGGCAGTGTAAGGAGATTGTATTCCAATTATTTTAAATATTCTCCTCAAAGAATTAATAAAATGAAGGTATAATCAGCAACTGTTTAAACTATTTTTGAAATGAGATCCTGGGATATATTCATATCCTGCCAGGAAGTTGTTAAATTTGGATTAACAATTTTCAAAAACTGTGATATATTCAGATACACTTACCTAAGACTAAAGTGACTATAATTAAATTGTTCTTGGTTGATTCAGAAGCTACTTCAGATTTCTACAGTATTTCAGAACTTCCATTGTGATTAAATTATGCTTTTCAATGCTGCTTATTATTTTTAGCTTTCTGGTTATTTGAACTGGCAATTATAGTAACATGGTCTTTTATATGGTTTCAGTATTATGCAACAATGCTTTTGTTTGGATGCTTTCATTTCTCTAACATCTCCTGCCCTCTGTTTCCTCCGAAGTGGAGAAAAGGGCAAGGGGATGGATATAGGCTCTTAAGGTGGTTGGTTCTTTTACTCGACATATTTACTGCTCATAGTAACTAAAAGTTTACAGATGCCACAGATTAGTGGCACTAATATTCATGTCTTAGCACTGATGTCAAAAGCACTCCGCTATTGAGTTGGCAGGACGAAAAGAACAGAGGATGGCTTTAATTACAGCTGTGCCCGCTGTCTGTGCTTCCTCAGTTCTACCTACACTATGACTCAAGGCACCGAGAGCCAATAGCCAAGAAATTGCACCTGGAAGTAGCCTGTCTACCAGACGGTAACCTCTACGAGGCTAATGATCGAAAATCAGAAGAAAGAAGAACCAGAGCACATCTCAACGACGCCTCTAAAATAGCAAACTGTTTGCTGTAGGTGGACAGTGGTTGCATAAAATAAACCGCTGGTGATCTAAGAAGGGCTTTCTGTGAGGTCAAAGGAAGCCCAGTGACAATCGCTAAGAACGTTAAACTGTGTGACTGAGAGTTTGGCATTTTCTTTTTGTTTTTCCAATAACCTATGGAGGTGAAATTCATGTAACATAAAAGTACCTATTCTAAAGTAATGCAGTGGCATTTAGTACATTCACAATGTGTTGCAAACAACCACCTCTATCTAGTTCCAAAAGGCTTCCATGTTCTAAAGGAAAACCCCTTACCATTAAGCGGCTTCTTCCCATTCCACTCTCCTCCGCCCCTGGCAACCACCAACCTCCGAGCTGTCTCTATGAATTTATCTAGCCTGGATAATTCACATAAATGGAATCATATAATACGTGATCTTTTGTGTCTGGCTTCTTTCATTTTGAGAGTTTTGTCTACTAGAGGCATTTAAGCAATCTTATGCACTAGAAGTCTAAAACATTTTTACATTGCAACCTGGACATGAAAATTACCTCTGGAGGCTTCTGAATAGACTCCTTTTCCTGTTCAAAACAACAACAGTTAAGATTGTTATAGGAATCTCTTATATATTCATAATTTGTCACATACAATTCCATAAATTAAAATAAATTTACATATATATCCCAGCTACAAAATCTATTTCATTTATTTCCAACAACGTTTTATTATTAAAGTCTCTATTTTTGTTTTTATGCACTACTTTCAATCCTTCCTATCATACTTCTTGATATTTATCCTTAACCCAATCATTTCCTATTATCTAATAATTTTCCGTCAAGAAACCACAAGCTCTTCTTAAGAGTTTTACTTGCAACATGGGAAAAGATGAAGATCCCTAAATATTTTCTTCTCAGGGTAACAGACAGGAAAAAAACACACAGAACCAACCCCATCTGATGACTCTTTCTTCAGATTGCCCAGGCTGCTAGACTTCTGCAGACTTGAAGTTCTAAAAATAACAATAATAATAATTAGGATTAATAATAAGTGGCTCTGGTGCCACTGTTTTTAAGTAGGATATCTTGGAAAGAAACTAGAATTGTGTGTGGGTTGAATCCTGGTAATAAAAGAACATCTGGATTCCGGCAGTCACTTATGAGCTTAAGAAAATTATAACATTTAGTTCTTTTAAAAGCAGGGGTGGTTAACTGTCCTGCCAATAACTGTAAACGTCCTGCACATGTTTGAGTAGCTGGAAAAACACTTAGGACTATTCTTGTGATGTCAATATTCGAAAATTTAAACCAGTTTTCCAAGGCCTAATGTTAGATCCTTTGCATGTATACCTTTATACACTGGGAACTTTTTAAGTATGCATGTACTATCCTATCTAATAATAGACAAACATGGTAATTGACCGTACCTTCGCTATGCCTCCCATTGGCTAATCAGCACGATATGCAAATTAACCCAACCAAGATGGCGGCCGGCAGCCACGCACTGAAGCAAGCAGGAGGCTTGCTTGCTCCAGTGATGGATGAAGCCAAGGTTCCCCATCTGCCGTGGCCCGGCTCTGAGCTCCGAAAGCAACAAAGTTTCAATTATAGAAGCTAAACAAACCCCAGATACCTGCTTTCAGCAGGCTGTGGCCTCAGTGCTGGAGGGAGCAGGAGCTGGCTCTCAGCTCCAGTGACGGCAACAAAGTTTCAATTATAGAAGCTAAACAAACCCCAGATACCTGCTTTCAGCAGGCTGTGGCCTCAGTGCTGGAGGGAGCAGGAGCTGGCTCTCAGCTCCAGTGACGGCAACAAAGTTTCAATTATAGAAGGTAAATAAGTCCCAGAATAAAAAAAAAAAAAGAAAAAAAGGAGAGGCTGGGAGTTTCAGTCGCTGGCCAGCCTGAAAACGGCTTAAAAAAAGAAAAGAAAAAAAGGAGAGGTTGGGAGCTTCAGTCGCTGGCCAGACTGAAAACGACCCTCAGCCCCTCAACCAGACTGGCCAGGCACCCCAGTGGGAACCCCCACCCTGAAGGGGGTGTGACCAGCTGCAAACAGCCATTAGCCCCTCACCCAGGCTGGCCAGGCACCCAAGCAGGACCGCCACCCTGATCTGGGACACCCTTCAAGGCAAACCAGCTGGCCCCCACCTGTGCACCAGGCCTCTATCCTATATAGTAAAAGGGTAATATGCAAACTGACCTTAACAGCAGAAAGACTGGGAATGACTGGTCACTATGACACACACTGACCACCAGGGGGCAGACGCTCAATGCAGGAGCTGCCCTCTGGTGGTCAGTGCGCTACCACATGGGGAAGCACTGCTCAGCCACAAGCTAGGCTGATGGCTGCCATTACAGCGGTGGTGGTGGGAGCCTCTCCTGCCTCCTCAGCAGCGCTAACGATGTCTGACTGCAGCTTAAGTCTGCTCCCCGCTGGCAAGTGGACATCCCCCGAGGGCTGCCGGGCTGCCAGAGGGATGTCTGATTGCCAGCTTAGGCCCCATCCCCCGGGGAGCAGGCCTAAGCCAGCAGGTGGTCATCCCCCAAGGGGTCCCAGACTGCGAGAGGGCACAGGTTGGGCGGAGGGAACCCCCTCCCCCGAGTGCACACATTTTTGTGCACCGGGCCTCTAGTTTACATATAATCCTATAATTAAAATAAAGGATGAAGCCCTGGCCAGTGTGGCTCGGTTGGTTGGGTGTCATCCTGTGCACCGAAAGGTTACTGGTTCCATTTCCGGTCAGGGCACATGCCTGGGTTGTGGACTAGGTCTCCAGTAGGGGGAGTGCAGGAGGCAGCCAATCAATGTTTTGCTCTCACACCAATCAATGTTTCTCTCTCCCTCTCCTTTCCTCTCTAAAAATCAATTTAAAAAATCTCTTACAAAAATAAATAAAGCATGAAAATTTTACTTTTCAATTCTCAAAGAAATCGATTTTCTGAGTCTGACAGAGCACTTCATTTGTAATTCTGATCAAAGCATAGTAGAGGAATCCCTCTTACTGTCCGTATAAATTCATTTGCTATCCTCGTGACAGCAAAGTGACATTGTAAACATTCGGAGGCTCTCTCTTTCACAGGATTAGCATTCAGTTTTATAGAGCGGGTCTTATTTAAAACTGAAGGCAGGAATATGTTACTAGCTTCAAAAGAGAGAGGAAAAAAGTAATACTTTTGCCCAAAGAAACAGAATGATATAAATACCAGGTGTACCGGTTAATAATGTGGATTTTGTAATCAAAGAAAACATGATCATTTCAAGAGAAACATCAAAAGTGCTTTATTCAAAGTAATGTCCATCGCTAGCTACACATTTCCCCCATCTTTCAGGTAATTTGTGGGTACCATCTCAATAGAACATTTTTTGTTTTGAGGCAAACCATTCAGAGACCCAATTTTCCACTTCATTGTACGTTTTGAAATGCTGCTCAGAAAGTGCGTGTGCCATCGATCAGAACAAGTGGTAATCTGAAGGAGCAAGGTCTGGTGAATACAGCGAGTGGGTTAATACTTTCCAGGCAATATAATTTAACATGTCTTTAAATGGTTTAAATGTGTGATGGTGCGTCATCATGAAGCAAAATTACTTTGCTGTCTTCTGGCCCATTCTGGTCGTTTCACAATCAAATCGTGGTTCAAATTGATTATTTGTTGTTGGTAGTGATCAGTATTAACGGTTTCACCTGGTTTTAGAAGCTCATAATACACCGCACCTTCCTGATCTTGCCAAACGCAGAGCATTGTCTTCTTTCCGAAGCGATTTGGCTTTGCAGTCGATGTTGATGGTTGAGCTGGATCAACGCATGATTTTGTGCGTTTGGGATTCTCAAACTAAATCCACTTTTCATCGCCAGTCACAATTCGATGCAAAAATGAATTTCTTTCGTGTCATTGAAGCAAAATTTTACTGATGACTTTTCGGTTTTCTATTTGTCTTTCGTTCAGTTGATGTGGCACCCATTTTCCTTCCTTTAAAATCTTTCCCATGGCTTAAACTCTTTCCCATGGCTTGTAAACGATCAGAAATTGTTTGCTGAGCAACGTTTAATCTTTCTGCAAGTTGTTTTGAGTTTGACACGCATCTTCATCCAATAATGCTTGTAATTGTTGGTCTTCAAACTTTTTCAGTTGACCTGGATGTTCTTTGTCTTTCACATCGAAATCATAACTTTTAAAGCATTTAAACCAGTGTTCACAAGTATCTTGAGATGGGGCATGCTCACCATAAGCTTCCTGAAGTATACGATAACTTTCAACAGCATTTTTCTTCAAAATAAAGTAATGAATAAAAACTTCCCGCAAATGCTCTTTTTTTGGCACAAAATCTGACATTTTTAAGCATAAAAATATCTATGAGGTTAATACCTTCAGCAAATTTGACATATGAAGTTTTGAAGCTTGCTGTCAATACAACAAAATAGCATACATAGCAAATCGCATATATATCAACATATGTGTAACTCCACCTGTTAAAAAAAATCCGCATTAGTAACTGGTACACCTGGTATACAAACAAATGTTTAAAAGGCATTTGTCATGTATTTATGTGTAAATACGTTGCTAGAAGTGTCTACCACCATATAAAGTATAATGGTGAAAAAGATCTTATCTTTGAGTACTTTTTGAGGAATACGTTTTCCTAATTTAATACAGACTTGAACTTGGATAAACATAGATATTAGGTCAGTTTATCAATTTGAAAGTGCAGAAAACCAATGCAACTTTCCAGCCACCACACTATGTGATTCTTTTCTGCAAGATTTAAAATATCAGCACAAAAGTGAAATTACAAGCACTGAACTTCAGGGGAAAACTGGTAAAGAAGGCTAAAGATCTACAGAAACTTGGCATGAGACAATGATAAGTGAGCAAGTATTTCTTTGTCAACTTACATCCCCCACCCTCACCTCACCTCCACTTTATCATTACAGTTTCATTCATTAATTCAGGCCTCATAGTCACTCACTTCCAATACTGGTTATTGTTAGTGTAAGGGAAGCTTCCTCTACCGGAAGTACCAACCACATTTTTCACATTCAATCACTTATAACTTACGAAAGACTGTCAGACATTTGGGTTTCAACAGCAGCGCCAAGGGTTCTTTTTCCATCACTAAAATTTAAAAAAAGAAAGTATTTGTAAACTTCATGAAGAAAAGACAATATATATATTCAAAGTGAACAGAACTGTCAAAAACAAACACTTGTGCAAGGAAAGTTATTTCTCTTTTTTTGGTCTTGTGTTTTATTTTATTTTGTCTAATTGTAAGATTAGGCAATTAATTTGCGACTATGTTCCCCCCAAATCCTATTTGCCTATGCAAAAACTATGGTATCCCTGTCCTATCTCCTCCATAGCCATTGTCCAGTCTCAGGCACAGGACTGCTGCTATTCTGCTCACAGCCCTTTGAGGGGCACCCAGGACCTAGGACATAGACTCCCTCTCTAACCTGACCCAAAGCACATCCTCACCTCATCTCCAGTTACTTCTGGCTTCACACCTGTTATTTCAATAACACAAAACTGATAAGGTTTCCTGGCGCATGTCACTATTTCTTGCTTTTCTGGGTAAGAAATCGTGTCTGTCAATAAATTCAAAGCACCCTTGCTTCTGGTTGACCTACTTTTCCAAACATTTATATTTGCAACGTTAGGACATTAATGACATACTTCTCAAATGAAGTCTCGGACTTAAGAGGCAATTTTGCTTTCTCAGGCGTTTCCAAGCCTTTAGATGTTGGTAATAATGAAGGGGTTGAAACCTGCAAGATGCTGGTGTGGAACTGTAATATAATAATAAAAAGTCAAAAGTGAGTCACATCAAACAAAACACAAGCCACAGAGCAACCAAAATTCAGGATATAAACACCTAGAAATGCTAATCAGAGAAAACATTCTGGAGGAAGGTAATTTTTGAACCTGGTTCTGTATAAGATACTGAATATTGTAAGACACAATAAATACCATTAATTAAGTTAATAGTAAAATCTTCACTGGGCATCAATTTTCTCTGTAAAATGAGCACTACTTTCACTTTAGTTTCTACTGCTAGTCGAAAATAAAATGTTGGTCACTCCAGTTAATTATTATTCTGTGTGTGAGCAAGCTAATTTCAATGAACAGAATTAATGAAAAATAGAATTAAAACAATTTATAATATACTTTGTGATTATACTATTTAAAACACTTTGCTTAATAGTAACAATATTACAACAACAACAAAAATACACTTTCCCACACAAATCCCATGTGTATCCTGAGGATGGACTCTGTGAAAAAAAAATTATACACTCTGGTTTTCAATAATTTCTGACAACCAGAGAGCAGTTAGATGGTTGGACACATCATGAACAAATAAATGAAACACTTTCAGCAAATATTCCAGTAAAAAGGTGAACATAACTCGCCTCAGTGAGTTGACTCACTTCTGCAGGTCAACCAACCATGACTCACCTCTGTAAGTCAGCCACCAAGGTAGGGACTCACACCAGCAAACACACCTCTAAATGCCACCCAGTCAACAACAGTCTCACCTTCATAACCACATCCGGCTGCTGTCAACTCACTCCTGCTTCCTCTGAAGGTCCACCAGTCCCTGAGCTCCAAGCATCCTAAAACCCTCTATATCAGTGGTTCTCAACCTTCCTAATGCTGCGACCCTTTAATACAGTTCCTCATGTTGTGGTGACCCCCAACCATAAAATTATTTTCGTTGCTACTTCATAACTGTAATTTTGCTACTGTTATGAATCGTAATGTAAATATCTGATATTCAGGATGTATTTTCATTGTTACAAATTGAACATAATTAAAGCATAGTGATTAATCACAAAAACAATATGTAATTATATATGTGTTTTACAATGGTCTTAGGCGACCCCTGTGAAAGGGTAGTTCAACCCCAAAGGGGTCGCGACCCACAGGTTGAGAACTGCTGCTCTATAAGATCAGCTTGGAGAGAGTGTCCCTGACCAACCAAGTCCACTCTCTTAAATAAGCAATAAATTCAGCTTTGTGAGTTTTGTTTCAGTTACTGAGCGGTGGTCTCATCCTTGGACACTATCAAAGGTTATAAAATGTGAAATCTGTTAAAGTAACCAGATTGGGCCCAAGATGGTATGGGTCATGCAAAGCCCCGCATCAGCAAACCTGAACTGAATGAAATGTCTGTGCTCAGCTCTCCCAGAAAAGGAGGGCCTAGGTCAGCCCAGCAGTACTGCTTGCTCCCACAAGTTACCTGACGGGGCTCCAAGACTTCCCTTTGCTCCATGTAAGGAAAGTAACCCTGTTTTCACCAATCAGCAGTGCCTCACTAACTTCCCTGCTCCTGCTCACTTCTACAAAAAGCCTTTCATCTTGTACAGCTCCTTGGGCCTTTCTATCTCATCTCCTAGATTGGATGCTGCTGGATTCATGAATTGATGCGTTAAGCCAAGACTTTTTAAATTTACTCAGTCGAATTTTGTTCTTTAACAAGTCATCTTATTATAAAAGACATTATTTCACTATCTTTTTATTTCCAGTTTGAATCTTTATGATTTATCCTGGACAACTTATTTAACGATCATCCCTGCTTCCTGAAGTTCTTATCTCCTTGGGTTCCTACTCATGAAAAAAGAAATAAATGAACTTCCACTAGCAGACTGATTTTTATTTCCTTTCAAACTTTAGGGCTTTAAATCCAACTTCAAGTCTCCCTCCTGGCTTTTCATTTAAAACTAGTGACCCCCATCATCCCTGCTTCCTGAAGTTCTTATCTCCTTGGGTTCCTACTCAAGAAATAAATGAACTTCCACTAGCAGACTGATTTTCTTTATTTCCTTTCAAACCTTAGGGCTTTAAATTCAACTTCAAATCTCCCTCCTGGCTTTTCATTTAAAACTAGTGACAGATTTGTGCACATTGAAAGGAAATTAATTAGAAGGTGGCCGGCAGGGCGGGACTGGGTGAGACAGCTCACTCAATGGCTGTGAGTGTAACCTTTCCCTTAAGGTGTAAGTATATATTTAACAATTAGGGACCTTTTCTCTTTAAAACATTTCTTATTCCTTATCTAATCCCATTTTTTTCCAGTTTTATTGACATATAATTGACATACAGCACTGTATAAGTTTCAGGTTTACAGCATAATGACTTGACTGATTTATATTGTGAAATGGTTACCACAATAAGTTTAGTTAATGCCCATCACCTCAGAGATTTAAAAAAAAAGGGAAGAAAATGTTTTGTTTTGTTTTCTCTTGTCATGAAAACTTTTAGAATGTACTCTCTTAGTAACGTTCAAATATGCCACACATCCGTGTTAATTATAGTCATATGCATGTACATTACATTCCCAGTACTTATATTTATAACTGGAAATTTGTACCTTTTACCACCAATCCACCCACTACTAATTCCTTGCTAAGGACATATTTTAGCCCTCTCTTATATTTAAGAAAATGCTAATTGTTGTCTCCTTGAATTCATTTTCATTCAATTCAAATTTCATCTTCTCATTATGTAATTATCAGCAACAGATATAAAAAGTAAAGATGCCATTTGGTTTCTTCTAATTACTTACAGAGATGAGCAAAGAAGGAACTGTTAAATATAAGGGATCTAAGGTTGTTTTGTTAAAAAATAAAACTGTTTCCCATTCCCAGTCTCTCCAGACAGCACATTATATTAAAACTAGAGGCCCAGTGCATGGATTCGTGCACTGGGGGGAGGGGGAGGGTCCCTCACACCGGTGCACAATTAGGGCCAGGGAGGGACCACAGGAGGGCTCCAGGGCATGTCCGGCCCAACTTGCCCAGTCCCGATCAGCCGGACCTCAGCAGCAAGCTAACCTACCAGATGAAGCATCTGCCTCCTAGTGGTCAGTGCGCATCATAGCTACTGGTCAAACAGTTGCTTAGGCTTTTATATATATAGATTAAGAAATGGTTTCGGGGGGCTGTCAGGAAAACAGTCTTAAAATGAAGACATGTGTGTGTCTTTGTTAAGACCTTAGGAAGATTTAAGGGGGTTCTGTCTCACTGACCCTTAAAAATAGATCTTAAACTCTAAAAATAAAGGGATATCCCACAGTAGCCTTACAGGGAACCTAAGGTAGAGAAGGATTATTGTGAAGGTATCTCATTAATCAGATAATGCTTGTATCTAATGGAGTGGATAACAAATTGACTCATAAGAAATTCTGAATGTTTAAAATACTGTACCAAAGGGACTAAAAGGGATAAAGATAGGAAAAAATTAAAGGCGGCTTTGGACCTATATGGACACTTTTATAGAAAACTACTACCTGCAAGTACATCCCCTTCTTGTAGGAAAGGAAGGATGACTCAGAAGGAAAAACCAAGAGCCCAGAGGACTGAGTCCTAACAAAGGAACTGGCACCACATGCCTGGCTAGATTTTGGAATTGCTATGAACTAGTGATACCTGGGTCCCTTCTGTTGTCCCTCTTTTAAATGAGAGTGCCTGTAGCGGTTATGTTATACCTATCCCACAATTGTATGTCAGGTGTGTGGGGGACAGAGAGCTTGTCCCTTAAGTTCCCGGTTCTTAAACTGAATGGAGTGGTACCCAAGAAGCTGTGCCCAAGAAGATGCACCTGAGGAGCTTCATGTACATCATGACCTGGTCTGGATGACAAGTTCCTGGGATGCTGATGCCTAATTGGAATGAAACTAAGGGGTCTTTGGAGAGGGGTTGGGTACACTGTGCATGGGAGAGGGATATAAACTGTTGTAGCCAGAGAGTGAGGGACAGATTTATTTTCCAAATGTGGTTGCACCAAGAGACCATCTCACATGTTCTTACAATGTGATATTGCCACTTGTCCATCAAGAGGTAATTGATAACTCCTTCTCCGTGAATCTGAGTGGGCCTATGACTAAGGAGAAGAGATGCTACATGACTTCTGAGAAACATCATAAAAGGTGATACGAATTTGCCTGGTCCTCTTCTTGGGATACTCATCTTCAGGACCAGCCATTGTATTATGAAGAGGCCAAGCAGTCACATGCAGTGGGTCCAGCCAGGGCCTCAGCTGAAGTCCCAGCCAACGGCCAGCCCCAACCACCAGATAGATGAATGGGCGGCCTTCAGGTGACTCAAGCCCCAGCCTGTGAGCCACTCCTGCTGCTGCCAAGTGGAGCAGAGACCAGATGTTCCTGCTGAGCCCAGGCCAAAGTGCAGATTCGTCAGCAAAATAAATGTTGGCATTCAAGACACAAAGTGTTGGGGTGGGGCGCAATAGATAATGGAGAGAGGTATCAGTGGCAATTTGATATGAAAGTAAAATAAATGAGTTTAAGACTATTCCCCTCCAGTTGCTTCTTCCAAATCTAAAGAAATCAGAGGAAAATTTCAATCCTTCATGTTACAGCGTCTCCATCAAAGGTGACTCAAATCAATTTCTCTATATAATCTCACTTTATCCCCACTTTATTTATTCCCTACTTATTATTTAATATGTAGACTAGAATCCCATATTTAAGATGACATCTATCCCCAAGGGATTCTTATATTTTTCCTGAATTACATAAGCAATTTTGACATTGCCCAGGGCATTTATTTATTAAAAAGAAGGGGGGAAAACATACACACATTTCAAATAAAAACTTACAGGGCACAAAAACTTTCAGGGCAAACCAAGTCATCAGTACCAAGCTGAGAAAAAAATCCCATGTCTTTCGTGTTGTCCACAGCACTTTAACTTTCAATGACACACTCTCTCCAGCAGGAAGAGACTATTGGGAGTCTATACATACCTCTTCCGGAACACTTGTGTTCAGTGGGTCACAACTGGGAGACCCCATCACTGGCGTGGATGACAGACCTTTCTCCAGTTCCCCAAAACCCTGTGCGTCCAGAAAAGTGGAGATGGAACTGGAAGTGGGCAGGTCATCATAGTCACCCTCCTGGCCTAGGAAAAGACAAAGAAAACAGAGGACCAGCAGCAAATTTTCATTTATAGTTCACTTTTGGAAGAAGAATCCCAAATATATTAAATGTAAAAATTTTTCGGATCCTCAAAAAAAAATCAAAGAGTCAGCTTCTGGAATCATTTGAAAAAACACAGGACCTAGGAAACAACACCTTCAACTGGTAGCATCTGAGGCCCCGGGGCTTTGGGCCACGTGAGTACCCAGCAGTGGTATTAATAGAGGTATTAACTGATAGTGATGTCAACAGGGGCAATGATAGACTCACAAGATTCAAATTAAAAAGTGAATTCAGCCTGGCCGGCGTGGCTCAGTGGTTGAGCATCTGCCTATGAACCACGATGTCACAGTTCGATTCCCCGTCAGGGCATATGCCTGGGTTGCGGGCTTGATCCCCAATGTGGGGCGTGCAGGAGGCAGCCAATCAATGAATCTCTCTCTTCATTGATGTTTCTCTCCCTCTCTCCCTCTCCCTTCCTCTCTGAAATCAATAAAAATATCTTTTAAAAAAAAAAGTGAATTCAATTCAACAACTCTCCTGTACTTTTGTTTCAAAATTTGGAGGCTTTAC